GTGGCAGTGGTGGTGGTGCTGGGGGGGTGCAGTTAGGGCGGGGCGGCTGGGGCACTAGTGGTGGCAGTGATGGCGTCGCCGGGGGAGAAGGGGTGCGGGGCACTTGCCCGTGAAACTTTGACGCCACTGCAGAGCAGCTCTACCGCTCTCAGCGCACTCCCGCCTCTGCTCGCTCGCGTGGGACGAGGGGGGAGAGGAAGGGAGGGGTGACCGTGGCACTGCACGACCTCACTCGCATTCCAACGACGCTACGCGACTCTGCTGTCGTGGTGGTGTTGCTGTTTACTACGCGCCCCTTTTCAGACAAATACCGTCTTTAGTCTGCTAACAAGATTCTTGTATATAATTATGAGTACCTTTGATGTTGTTGTATCCAAAAAACTAATTCTATTATGCGAAATGTGTCTGCTTGAGCATGAGAACCTATAACTTTGTATTTGCGCTCATACATCTCTTTTTTTTCCTATTTCGCAACTTACTTTATACTCTTGTAGTATAGTAATCTGCATTTACCTCATTACTTTCTAGAAAAGCCAGTTTATCATTCTTGTTCGCTCACCTAACATGGGAATATTTGTTAGTCCAGGAAGAATTTCTTTAAAAGAAAATCAGCGCCTCAAATTGCTAACGTTGCTCTCCCCACTTGTTAAAAATGCGTCTCAAACTTGACGAAGTTAACTTCATGAACGAACCTTTACTATACAATTTCCCCTTTAGATCGATGGCAATTCGGCGAAAGGCACCTGAAAGTGGAACACGTGATTCTGGGGAAGTCCATAAGCTACGACCCATAACTATAATAGCATTCCGTTTAGCTGAATGAAGGAGATAGGGCGAGCGAGAGAAGGTGAGGGAGAAAGTGCAAGTGAGAGAGATGATATGAGACAGCGAGAGTGAGAGAGGGGGAGAGGGTAAAAGGGAGCGAGAAGCGGATTAGATGTTAGCGATTTCATCCACGAAATATTCCGGCTCTGTCGACGAAGTTGCTCGCTGTTCGACGCGACACAAACCTTCACATTATCCCCTCTCACGAGAAGGAGGAAGAGAGAGTGGAGAGCGAGAGGAAAAGAGCGAAAGAGCACGAACGAGGGAGTAAGAGCAAGCGAGAGGGAAATTCAGAGGCCGAGTGAGAGATAAGAGATGAACGAGAGATGGAGGTGTATGAGCGACGTGTCTTGCTCATCGAATGTCGCCAAAGCACAGTTTCTGATTCACATGATATACATATTTTCATAATATTATTATTTTTACTTTATCATTAGAAATATTACTATTGAGCGGTTTACCTTTAATATATATTGTGACAGCAAAAATACATTTTCAATAAACTTAAAGCGGAAACCAAACAATCAATTGGGTGATGGTAGGAGTCACATGCGGGAACAAGTTGTTCTAAACAATTACAATTACCAAATAGTACAAAATCAGCCGGGGAAGCGCAGTTGTGGCCGGTCAAACAAGAGAAA